AATAGGAGATCATGAATAATTTACGGACAGTAAATATTTCTAACTGGACATGGATTTTGATACGTGACGGTAACGAGCAACACACATTGAATTTCAAGTCTGGTTATAACGTTACAAGAACGATCAATTATCATATCCTATCGATATTTTTTTACTGGAATAACGTTATACTATTTATATATACCTATTCCAAGGTATATTTGCGCAACTTGTTTATCGCTATATCACATATTATTAATCTAACATTGCAACTGCCCTTCCTCTTTGATCATTTTATTTGCTGTTTTCTTTTGAACAAAGATGCTGCCAAGTTGTCTTCCTTCTAAAATGTTCTTTCTTTCTTTTCTCTTCCTAAATTACTGGTACTATATATAGTGTAGATATATGGATTTTTAAGATATTTTATAGAAACATTTTTAAGATATCTTACAAAGTTTGGAAACCTGACTTGTAATAAAAATGCGACGCATTACGATGCATCATTTAATTGAAATGAGATCGCGATGTATCAATTTTTCAAAAGTCTGATATAAGCGTTGCAATTTCCGACCATGTACCGCAGATAAGAAACGTAAGATGTAAATTTTATAAAATATGCAGGAAAGTGCATAAATATTATCCTTTCCTCTTACTTCCCCTCCTCCTTGCAATTCTTTTCATACAGTTATCATTTCAAACAAATAATTAACATAATTATCTGTTTCAATAAAGAATTTCGAAATTGATAAACAATTTATTTTACAATTATTTTACAATTTTACATCTATCTTATTTAGACCTTACATGCTTTGTAATACCTTAATATTTGAACACAATATAGTGAAACTTGTGCGCGTTATCAAAGCGGAAAAAAAATGTGAAGATAAATTATTTTTATATAAATCTGCTGCAGTTGCCGAATTAAATCGTGAAATTTGTATTTTATTAGCAAAATGTGAGTCGATGAATGTGTTATGACTAGACTTTGAAATATGAATATATGAATATTCTGAATATTCTGAATATAATATGAATATTCGCTGTTTTGTCCGAATATAAAATTTTTGATCTCACGTCATTGATTTTCTATCCTCCAATAGATGACTTCATTTTACTATCGTCAAACTTTTAATTGGTCCAAAACATTAGCACTCTTTTTCGATTAACTTTTATTTATATTAAAACTATATTTCATTTTGTTTGTGTAATACTTTGTCTAAAATCAAATACTAAAAATAATAAATACAGAATGCACCAAATGTGCCTCATTGTAAGAACTTGTTTCGCGTATAGCAGAGTGCTGTCTGATAAGTTATTCATTAATTATCATTAATTAATGTGATACAATGATATAAAGCTTTAATAGCATAAAAAATATTGTTTAAGAAAAGAATAGTCTTACGAAACGAACATTTCTTTGATATTTCCTCATCAATTCTTATTATACAGTATATACAGATTTCGGATTAGACACTGAATTTCTTGCTCTTTCGAACTCGATTACAGAATGAATATAGCGCGCGATATCCAAGTCACGCATAATCTTGAAATAATAACGATTATCGAGTATCAGATTTTACAACACAGTTTATGCAAATATGCTGGTTTGTCTACAAGAGATAAGCCATCAAGGAATGCAAATAGATAATTTCAGAATTACATAAGTTATAAAAGCAAAGTATGTTAATTGTTAATACGTTTGTAAATTGACTCACTGTGATTATTGTCCGGCTATAATCGTTTGATAATTAGTGCGAAATGAAGACATATATTCATATTTATGGAAAGAAAAATTCTGATATTATATCAGATAGATTATATCAGATCGTTACTTTATCATAAGATATAAAATATATAACTGATGTTAAGATGATTTTCAAAAGATTTTCACGAGATGGAGACAGGTATTTACGGCCAATAGAGGCACGTATACATACGAGAAACGTATGCTTATTAAATTTTTATTATGATGATGCATGTAACACAAGATGTGTTTTACCGTGTTCTCGATTCTCTCTTGTATTGTCTGATTCAAGCTTCATGATCACCACTATCTATTCCTATTAAAGACTCTGTTTGCTCTGCTTCAAGATCTGGGATCCTGGAAGTATCAATTTAAATATACATTCCATTTATACAGCACGCGTGTATGTTACGATATTGCAATACTAGATGATTGACTTACACATCTTATACATTATTGCAATTTTATTTGATTATATTTATATAAATATAATTTATATATAATTATATTTACATGTGATTTTACCTTGTAAATCTGTTGTTTCTCCTGCATATCCAGACGAAAAATCTTTTTATTAAATCCATAATAGGATCCCAATTATCATAATAAGATAACAGAGATACCGTCAAGAATGCTAAGAGCATTGGAATGCTTCCCAAATAGAAAATACAAGGATATTCAACCTTTTTTAAGAGAACATCGGCTACCATCGACATGGGCATTGTTAAGCTTACGGCCATTGTTGCTACGAGAGATGATGTCAGAAAGCAACCCCTAGCAGATATAATCGAATGCAATTATACATTACAAGAGTTATTATCATTACTGTGTATGTATAACATTAAATTCTATTAAAATTACCATAGCCAAAGAACTTCACTCAGAACTGTTCCAATTAGACCGTTTATAATTAGAAATGTCCATTGATGGCTATTGGGCCATTCAAATTCTTCCCAATGACCATAATGAAGAATAAAGAATAAAGGCCATAAAAGTGTTAAATTAAATATTCCCACAAAGCCAAAAAACATTGGTATATCCATCTTGTCTTCATGATCTACTTTTCTTTTTAGAAATACAATGTATGCAGCATAAAAAAAAGCACTGACTAGAGCCAATATCATGCCCATCGACATATTATTACTTTGTACAGTTAAATCCGAAATACCAACTAATATCTGTAAATAAAGAAATCATTTTTTAAGATTATATCACAACGATTACAATCATCAGTTTTCCAAAGGATGTGAAATCCATATTGTACCTCTTTTTCTTAGAATCTTAATTGTTATTTAATTGTATTAGCATTAATATTATTAAATTAGCACTAATATTAGTAAACTAGTAACTTACCAATCCGAAAATGCTAACTACTACAGCAGTTAATTTGGATAGCGTAAATTTATCTCCTCCATTACTGGGGAAAAAAGCAGCGAGAAATAAAGTGTATAAGCTGGATGTCGAAGACAATACAGTAACGATTCTGACCTGAGTTTGTTCCAATGATATTTGGTATGTGTAATTTGCCATAAACCACTAGAAAGACAAAAAATATATATATATGTGCATGTGTATGCGCGCAATGTGTATATGTATACACACCACATATATTATCGATAATATATAACATGATATTGGAGTAACGCACGCGTTCAATTGAATTTCAGATTACTCACAAATAAACAAAACATAAGGGCTATTTTAGCCACTTTTTGTACAGAGAATTTATTAGCTTGTCGCCTCGCATGTTCCCCGGCTCTGACGCTGGCTTGATAACTAAGTCGTGCCAATAGAGCCTCTGTAGCATCACTTTCCGACATGTGGCGTACTTCTGCTAGTTTACTAAATCTTACAGAGCGGATGGACGAATCGTCGCTTTCTGTACCTGACGAACGATCGCAATGATCCGGAGTTTTTATTGGAACAAACGTCGGATCACTCTGTGATAAACGAATGATCGTTATCAGATTAACAGTCACGCAAATATTATCTTTCTTTTTTTAATATATGCCGAGGTAAGAACATAGTTTCTATTATTTTACTAATGCAATTTCGACATTTCTTTTTAAGACTGATTTACTTTTGAGAAGTATGTCAATTGAATTATACAATATCTCAGTTATTGTTATTTTTGATATATGATAAAAATTATATACAAAATTTAAAAATTACAACTAAAAATTTTACACTTACTAAACTTGTATTAGCCTCTGAATAAAAGTTATCATCTTCAACATTAGGATCTATGAACTGAAAGAGAATAAAACATTTAAGAGACGTTTAAGAGAAAAAGGACTATTTTCACATAATTTCACACATATAACATCTATAAATACCATGTATGTTGCAGGTTTATTACATTGCTCCCGCCAAGGTGGCCAAAAGCACAGGCCAAGTAAATAAAGTGTAAACATAGACGTTTTTACATATGTACTAAAAAATGGCTTTTTGAACGTAGCATCTCTGTAAATGTACTGAAATAGAATAGATATTATTGTAATTTCATTGTTGTGAAAAAAAAAATGATAAGAAAAATTTTTAATAATTAGATTAAAAATAACTCCCAATTGCAAATGCTATAAATGTGGATAAACTGGTCATAGTACAAGATGAAGAAATATCACAAATACAAGAGTTTGTAGTCTTACTTTGGTAAGCTCTGAGCTGGAAACCCAAATTATATCGACCAGTAATAAAACTAATAGACCAAGTACTAATCTTTGAGATTTATTCATCATCGCCGCGAGTTTATGGGGATCCTCCGCCATCCCCTGTTGTCTACGCTGGCGTAATTCCACAGAACAGCTCATCTTGATGGGCTCAGATTCTTTCTTTACAACATTGAGTTTGCATGATTTTCGCTATAAGAATTATGCATCATTTTTTTCTCAATATCATAATAAATCGTACGAAATTATTATTAGGATCGACACCAAAAAGAAGGTATAATGTTTACAATATTTTTCTTTTTCTTTGTTTAATTACCGAATGGAAAATGGAAGTTGATCTCGTGCGTGCTATGAGCTTGCTGTGAATCTGCTCTGAATCTGTTGCTAGTCTTGTGTGAGAATATAGAATACAAGAACACGGGCGTGAGATAAAAATCGTATCAACAAGTGTCAAAGAATGATAAGGAAAACTTATAATTTTTCTTCAATGTCAGTAACGAGAACTAGCAAGATACGACACCTTGCCTAACCTAACCGGTTGTTTGTGGCCCCGGCTCCGGCCCTAGTCTACGTTGATCCCGCATCACATTGTTCTCTTGGTAACGAGCTTCGTGTCGATTCTAGAGATTCGTGCGAGCTTCCAAGCCAGAGTATAATGATTGTCGATTGTGCCAATCAAGTTGCGCCAGACGATTATAAATTATCGCGTTGTGGACGAACAACCATGCCACAACGTCCGCCTACATCTCGGAGCGCTAGTGATAACAAGTAATAACAGGTGCGTCAATGTTATCGCATTTAATAGCACACTATCGTAATACATATGTCAGCAATATTTTATCGAGTATCAAGATGCATATCTCTACTCTTCACTTTCACTCCTTTTAGTTTTATTCCCAATACGGTTGACCATTTGTCAGTCGTCAGCCGTTAGTCGTGATCAGTCGCGATTTATCACAACGCTCTAATGCTGAATACTGATGTGTGCTGGTGACTGGTCGTGGCTGATCATAACCGACGTTGTGTATAATCCACGTAACCGACTTGTTGTAGATTGTCGCGATGTCGTGAGTGTTGCAAATTACAGTTGCGGTGTGATCCTGATGTGCTGGGATCTACAAGATTCAAATTGTGATGCATTGGTGCGTAAGATGCACAAGATGCTAGTGGCTTAATTCGATGGCTCGATCTTGTTTGCAATCGACTTTCGACTTGACTTCTCGCTGCAAAGCGAAGCGAAGTGAGCTAGATTTGATTGCTTCGGTTACCATGGCGATCCAATTTGCAAAACATACAAATTCTCTTTTCTTCAAATATACTAAGAACCAAACGGACGGGCACGTAGGCAAGTTAAACGAAAAAAACTACCGTTATTATACCGTTATAAAAAACTATCGTCGTATTATCAATTAGTCAAAGTTTTGTATAAATAATGGCAAATGATGTTCTCAGCAACGGTCGTTTACAAGAAAGTACAGTCGTGCAACGAACAAGAAACAACAGAAGCAAGAGAGGTATTAAATATCATTAACATCAAGAGATGTAAATGTAAACACTCTCGTTTGCAAACACTTCTAAAATTCTCTAATCATCGCGGAGAAACGCAATCGATAGATTGATTTTTTTAACACGCGTATACACGCGTGTTAATTACATGTCTTATCGAATCTTTTCATCAGAAACGAAAATACCTTTTTCCATTTTTTTCTGTTTGTTTTGTTGAGTGCAGCTCCGGATATAGCAGCTATAGAAAGTCGTAATTGGTTGTTACATCGACATTACACAAGACATGAGTACAGCTCGTGCAAGTTACTTATCGAGCAAGAATTGGCGAAATCAAATGGCCACGAATATGCTAATTATTTGAAGGTGAGACTGATTATATACAGAATATACGTGTCACCTAACAACACATAATCTTTGCAAAATACAATTCAATTATCATTCTTCTGAAAATATACAGTGCTGAAAATTGAAGCAATAGCTTGGCTATTATCGTTATCTGTGATAAATCAGAGAGCGATCTATTCAACAGATATTTTTATTCGTAAAATATATAAAAAATAATTTTGTTTTTCTTGTTCTATGGAACACATTGGCACACATTGGCATGTAACAAGTTATTTATTTTCATAGGGCTTAATTCTAAGAAAAGAGGGCAAGATTCAAGATTCTCTGGATTGCTTTCAAATTGCATACAACGTCAATTTAACAAATGTTGATAACATTAAACAGATAGCAAAATCACTGTAAGTAATACGAATAAAGGAGGGGAGAGGGAGACGGAATTATTTATAAGATTGAATATATGATATGCAATTATTTTGTGTTGCTTCAGATTAATAATAGGAAGTCATAAACGTGCGATAGATGCATATATGGAAGCTGAAAAGATATCTGCTGTACCAGATTGGGAAATATATCATGGTCTTGGCAAGTTATATTTGTCATTTTACAATATAATGTATTGCTCGACACATATTTGCATAGCACACATGCATGTGTGCATACACAAATATGCATAATGAATATACACAAACATATTGGTTTTGTAAAGTTACAGACATATACTAAAAAGTATCTTGGTTCAATATTTCATGCCTAAACAAATGCTTTTTAGTCGCATTCAAACATGCATGTTCTTTTGTTAAGTGGAATTGTGTTTCTTTCATCTAATGTTTATCTTATTTCTTGTTTAGGCGAAGCTTATGTGAAATTGAACCAATTACAAGAGGCTAAAAAACATTTTAAGAGATCTACAGAATTAACCAAAAGGGAATTGCCCAATATTGATCTCGCAAGATTGTATCTCTCGGATGACATGATTCCAGAGGCCAGAAACGCTTATATGGTAGCTTTGAAGTAATATTGTTATAGTTGACTACTATTTTTTGATCACATTTTTTTATGAATACTTTTTCTTACAATTCTTTTTTCTCGTAATATTTTTCTTATTTATATTATATCACTAGTTTTTTTCGATATCGTTTAAACATAATTTTTTTTTTCTTACTCAGTGGAAATCCCCAAAGTATTGATGCAGCGACCGAATTGGGTCTCTTGTATCTTAGAATTGGAGATATGCAACGAGCATTTCAGCAATTTGGAGCAGCTTTGGCTTATTCGTCTAATTGCGTCAAAGCAATTTTACCTATGGCTTATATAATGCAAGTGCGTAAGTTTAGAGAAATAATATTCTTCTCTCTTTAATTTTAATTTTTCTTTAATAATTTCTTTGCAAAGAAATTCAATCGACTGACAATTTGTACGCTTGTCTGTTTTAATTATTTCTACCGTATTAATATTCAATTGCTCGAATTAGTCGTTTAATTCGTAAAGTACGTTAAAATGTTATTCCATACTGCTTTGCTAATATATCTAAAGAAACATTTCAGGGAAAATATTTCATTATATATATATATATATATATATATATATA